TCCTGGAAAAGCAGCTATGAATCACACGCTGCTCCATAGGCAGCAGAAGGAGGGAGAGACACTGGCCCCGGCTTGGGCTTTTGAAACCTCAAAGCCCATTCCCAGTGACACACCTCCTTCAATGAAGACACACCACTCCAACAAGAACTGAAGGGACCAGCTCCCCTTTCTGCAGTCTTAACGGCCAAACACGTGCTTCTCTGACCTTGTCCTAGACACTAGAAAGTCAGATGCCTGCCTTGTGACAAGGAACCAATCAGAAGTTAGCTGGTGGTGCTATGCTTTACGGCTCTGGGTGTGCTTTACGGACAAGCACACAGCAATGATGCACAGAGCATAGCAACTACCCTGAGAGGGCCTATGGGCCATAACAACCAGTTGACCAATCAACACAGGGCAAGTCCTCCAAGCCTGGAGGCACACCAATCCTGAGCCTGTGCGTACCCCTAGACACTCCCCTTACGCTGCCCTATAAAGCCCTCTATGCAGCGGGTTCGAGCTTGCTTTGCTCGCCATCCGCCATGGCTGGTGGGTGAAAGACCCGAGGTAACATGGGGTTAGCTCATAAAAAACAAAACAAAACAAAAAAAAAACAATAAAGCCTCATGCAGTTTGCAGCAAGCTCTCAAATCTGCCTGGTGATTGGGGTGACCGAGGTTGTGGCCTGGGACCCCAGATACCTGAGTTTTCCGGGGGTCTAACAGAACATACCTCCCAATCTTTCCAGTGCATCAACCGGGGACTATGCATTCAAATATAAGAGCCTATGTGGGCCATTCTCATTCAGAACACCCTCTTCCGTCCTCTCCATCTACTGAGACATTCCCCATCCTTGCACCGTTGCATACCTAGTTTCCTGCATGGAATGGCTTCTTCTTGCAATCTCCTAGGATCTCTGAGGGCCCCCATTTAAGAATCATTATGATTTGGTAACTGAACCTAATTCATTCCTTATATTTTCCCGTACTTTGTTCTTTCCTTTTCATACTTTTTAACATGATTTGTATTTGTAGAACCAACACTATGTGTTGGTGCTGCTACCTAGCACCTAGCACAGGGCTTGGCATATAATCTGCAAAATACAAATTTATTTTAACATTTATTTTTTTCATTTTAGAATTGTTTGTGTATGTGTGTCTGTACGTGGGTGTGTGCATGTGAGTGCAGGTGCCCATGGAGTCCAGAAAAAAAATGCTGAATCCCCTAGAGTTGGAGTCACAGGCTGTTGTGAGCCACCTACATGGGTGCTAGAAACAGACTGAGCCCTATGGAAGAGCAGTAAATCCCCACAGCCCCAGATAACAAATATTCCAGGAAATACTATCATTATTCAGTTGTAGTAATATTGAGATTTTCAGTAGCATTGTCATAATAGCCAGAGGTATTTGGGAATTCAGAAGCATTCTCACTTTGGAGGGGTGTGGTGGGAAAAAAGTATATAAAACACTCCTGGAAAGGCTTGCACTGACACCTGAAACCACACACTAGCATTTCTAGTGAAAGTTACAAACAGCCACTTGTAAGGTCAGGTCTAATACCATCGGCAAGGCAATGAGGTTGTGAAAACAAAGGATTTGAGTTTTCAGATTGAAGTGCATGTCCCCTAGCCCCACAAAGCTTAGCTTTCATGAGAAGTAACCACAGAACAGATAGTCTCACCATGTGAAAAAAATAAACATTTGTCCTCCACCCATCCTGAATGGAAGCAAAATCACAAGACTTGAGAGGAAACACTGACCCTCTGGACTCTAGTCAATAACTCTCCACTGATGGGGGATGTCCTTCTGTATATATATTTCTCTTATTGGTTGATGAATAAAACACTGATTGGCCAGTAGAGGCAGGAAGATAGGTAGGACTAGGAGTCAAGGAGAATGCTGGGTAGAGAGGCAGAGAGGCCTCGAAGAGACACCATGTAACCGCCAAAGGAGTAGCAGGTCCAGGCATTCTCCAGTAAGCCAAGACCACGTGAAAATAGTTATGGCTTAAAAATTAAGACAGAGCTAGCCAATAAGAAGCCCTGGATATTGGCCAACACTTTTATAATTAATGTAGCATCTGTGTGCTTATTTAGGGCTGAAGGGTGGCAGGACCTGGCAGGACAGAAACCTCCATTTTCACTACACTGTGGAATTCAAATCACTGAGAAGATGACCTCTGGGGAACATGTAAAACTCTCCACTTTGAAACAGATTTAGGAAGAAAGAACTCCACCCTATCTGAACCTGACTCTGCTCCTATTCACAACTTACACCCCTTCAGTAACTGTCCTTAAGTTTCCATGTGCATTTCTGCTTGTACCTCAAATGTTTTCACTTTCAAGCTCAATGCAGCATTACAAGCTATTAATTATTCTCCACAGCAAGTATTTTATCCTAAGTTGCTTCGTCTCTAAAATTAAACAACCCTGACATTTTCAGCCAAAAGTTAGTAAGTATTAACATAAAAAAAGATAGTACTAAGAGAAACAGAAGGGATTTTAGAGTCCATCAATAATATGTCTAGATACTCTCAGTCCTGTCTACTCGCCTATCTTTTAGCGGCATTGTAGGTTTAAACACCTGAGATAAATTTCACACAAGTGTTTGCATGAGAACCGGAATTATAAAATGCCTGACAGATTATTGTAAATTCCAGAAACAATGGTAAAATTATTCCCACACTGGTATTATTCACTTGAAATTTTAACACATAGAGGTAATCTTGAAAATTATTACAACAAAAAATAAATAGGAAAAACAAGACTCTTAAGGCATTATAGTGATATGGGATGTCTTTCTGCACACTGTGAATATGTGTTGCTTTTATTTATTGATGAATAAAGCTCCTTTGGCCTTTGGCAGGGCAGAATATAGCTAAGCAGGAAATCCAAGCAGAGATACAAGGAGAAAGAAGGCAAAGTCCAGAAAGAGGCACCAGCAGCCACTGGAGGAGAAAGAAGTCAGAGCATCTATGGTATGCCATGGGCCACGCAGTGATATCCAGATTAATAGAAATGCGTTAATTTAAATGTAAGAGGTAGCCAGCAATGCACCTGAGCCGTCAGTGAAACAATTATAATTAATATTAAGCCTATGAGTGATTATTTTATAAGTGGTTGCAGGACTGGCAATGGGAGAGAAACCTCTGATCACACTATAGAAAAGTGAAAAAGGAAAGAGAAACAGCTAAACACTAATAGGATGAAAGGTGTATTGACCTTAGCAAGTAAGAAAATATTTCATAAGTATCTTCAACTCACTGTCTAAATGTGCATTTCTAAATATATCCAGAAAACAAAAGGCCAAGCAGTGTTCCTATCTTTAATGTAAGTGGTGATGTATACAAGCTTCCAAAAGGCAATTTTCAAAGATGGAATACTGCTTTCCTTAGTTTATATTGAACATTTGAAACTATAACATAAATCCCAAGTATAATTCTGTTATTTCTGAATTCAAAGGCACAATGATGAATGCTAAAGTGAACGTCCTGCCAAGGAAGATACCTAAGTTAATATCAGCCAAAAGTTTCCAGGCGCATTTTAGTCATCATTAAAGCAGTAAAAACAGAATCTGCCAAAGTTGAACTTATCCCATCTGAAATTAAGAAAAGGGCCAAACTTTGTCCTTCCATTTTTCTAAATTGTGGTAAAATGTATGTAACATATAATTCGCTGTTTTAACTAGCTTTAAACATATATTTTATGGCTTTAAGTCCATCCGCTTTACTGTGCAAACAGTGTCTTAAGCCACTTCCATCCTCTCACTCAGAAACTCCGAGCCCACAAGACAGTAACTTCTCATTTCCCATTTCTCCTCCCCTGGAAGCCAGCATTCCACTTTCTAACTAGGTGAACACCACTCACTCTTCTGGGTGCTTCACATAAGCTTAATAATGGAGCATTTGTCTTCTGCAACTGCCATTTCCCTTTGCAGAAGGGAATCTTTAAGTTCTATGCATAAAGAATTTCAATACAATAATAATGTATTAATGCTCTATCGATTTCCCACATTGACTTGATCTGTTCATCAGTAGACGGCCCTTGTGCTGCTTTCTATGGTTGGATACTGGATTTGTGCACCTTCTAAACTCAATGCTTTCTGGAAAACTTGCCAGCTGAATAAAACAGACACCTATTTGCAGTCAAAAGGAAATCTAGCCTGGTATGGTGGTGGACGTACTTGTAAATCCAGCTTTCCAACAGGTTGGAATAGACCATGTCCCAAAACAAAACAGAAACACCAGACAAGTCAGGAAAGACCTCTGCCTTGTTCAGTAGTACTGCAGTTACCTTCTTGTGAGGCCCAGATTTCAGTGGTTGAAAAGTACATTGCTCTTTTAACCGTCCTCTCTGCCAGTCACCAATTCTAGAATTCATGTAATATGTAGATTGTCATCTAGTTACTAGATTCTTGCTATTGAATGATAATAACCATTTGCCAAACCTACCAAGACAGTAACAAGAAGAGAGGACAAATGCTTATTTCTTGATTTAGCAGGGAATTAAATTTGTATCAACTCTATGAACACATACACACTTCAGAGTCATAGTCCAAACACCAGGCAGATTGCAGAATAAGAGAGGTTCTATTTAAATCCTCTGTAAAGAGGTTTATTTTTAAGATTCCATCATATATGACCCTATGAGATGAAATCTGAAAGACTCCCAGAAATTATACCATAAAAGTGTAATATGGAAGATACCATCAAGCTCACCACGGGAAACTCTTCGTTTTATATGAAGCCAAATATAGCAGTGATTTTCCATCACATCAAATGGCCAGGCTCCGTAAATCATCTTTAGGAGTAAGGAGATTAACCAACTAATAGCATCCTACATCTTACCGAAAGGTAGGACATGATACAATTTAATGATTTTTCAAGGCAACTTACTGAGAAGTTATTTCAGATGTTCTCATCTCAGAGACGAAAGACCGTAAATCCAAATCTGCCATCCCAGGAGCTGCTATGCTACTGAAATGGATGAGTTTGTCAGCGGGAAGATCTTTTTGATAGCTCACCTTACTGAGTACTCCTCGGAGGTGAACCGTGGTTTTGTTCAGTAATACACAGACCTTTTCACAGTCTTGCCCTGCTTCATATGAGGAAAACTGGATAACGTCTCTCACATTCAGCTTCTATCTGCATGTTCAATGCTGACTCTCAGTGGGATTTTATCTTGAAGCCACAGAGGAATAGCTTTTGGTTTCTGCCCTGTAAGAAATTCATAATAAGACATCCGACTGTTGCTGCTAAATGTGTGCCGCTCAGAGATGACAATACTGGCATCTGTTTCAAAATGCTGTTTTGTCTCTCCAACGATATTCACATTTGGCAATAGGAAGGAATAAGGATAATTCACTTATCTCGTTTGTCTAATAAATGATTCAGTCCATGTAGCAAATGCTAAGCAAACAGTTTCCTGGTTCCTGGGGCAGCAGGGAGACTGTTTATACTCAATGAATTTATACTCAATGAATCTGAGAATGTATTATTTCTTACTTTTTAAATATTTGTACTCACTGGGCCTCTGTTATACCTTTGGAATCCTGTGTGTGCATTTGGTGGATAGAACCTAAAGTATTTCTGGGACAAAAAAAAGTGAAGGAAACTAGGAGATGAGTTTCTTAGGCTTGCAGTTCTGCCTGTGATATTGGGAGCATAAAAGGTGTGGAAATAAATACTGATTATATGCATATGTGTGCATGCAAAATATATATTTACACACACACACACACACACACACACACACACACACACACACACACACACACACACGCACAAGAACACATGTGACAATCAGGCAGAAAGTTTCCCATTGCTTCCTGTCACCTGACCTGGCCTGTGACACGCCCTGCATAGAGTGCTTCCCGCATGGAATAATGTAGAAGTTCTTGCTTGGAGGTAGTTGCCAGCACACTTGGTTTTACTCTCTCAGTGTTGTCGCAATTATTCAGCAGGGTATACCTCAGACAAACAAACAAACAAACAAACAGGATAAAAAGGAAACCAGTTAAGCCTTGAGAGAGTCGCTTTTCCATTTATGGCTTAGATGAGGAAGGCTATTTTTTCCTAAGACATTTCCTAACGCAGCCAGCTGGCTTGTATTTCATACGCCAGTTCCAGGGTGTGCTCTTGTGTTCGCAGCTGAGTCTCTGTTATTTGGCAACATTTCTTGGTTATTTAACCTAAATGGAAACAAACAGAAACCACAGTCGTGTCCCTAGATGAGTGTATAGTCTAGCTTGTTTCATGAGCACTTACTCAGCAGCAAACACTCATACAGATCATCATAGGCAAGGTGAGAATTCTTATCCTTACTTTAGCAAGTCAATAAAAAGACAAGTTAAATATGCACAGCTCCAATCCGCATCTTATTGTTGACATAGAAACACGTAAAAAGGAGTCTAAACATGCTTGCACAGGTTAAGTGTGGAACAGAGGCAAAACCACCCGGAAGTGAAGTCGGGCAAAAGAGATGAGTAAAAGCCGAGGCTGCCGAAGCAGGTACTCGGCTTGTTCCCAGACTTGTGCTCTTACTTCTGTCTTCTTGTAGTTCTGGGGAATTCAACCACAGGCCTTGTCCATGCTCTGCTACTGCGCTAGACCTCCAACCCCCAAACCCTCTCTAGAAACAAAAAACAAGTCTCCAAAACTCTTGCGCTTGTGCTTCCGACGATATGTCTACGTCCACACCCATTTGAGCCAGTTTTCTTTAAACAGTGGGTAGTTTAGTCCACTAAATCTGTGGTTCCACAAGCATAAAAGCTGCAGGTCACCAATCGGCAGTGGCACACACCTTTAATGCCAGCACTCGGGAAGCAGAGGCAGGTGGATCTCTGTGAGTTGAAGGCCAGCCTGGTCTACAAATCGAGTTCCTGGACAGCTAGGGCTACACACACAAAAAAAAAAACCTGTCTCAAAACACAAACAAACAAACAAGCTGGAGATTAACTAGTAACTAGGGAGTAAATAACCACTTCCAGGGACACTTCCGTGTCTGAATAGCAAGGAATCTACGTAGTATGAGTGGGACTTGGCTCATACACGGCAGAGGCAGGAATACACGAGGTTCCTACCATTTGCTAAATGTATACATTGGCCACAGGAAACCACTGAGATGATACTTAGTTTAGCCAAGTCCTGCTACTCCAAGACCAATCAAATAAGTGAGGATTCAACGAGAATCTGGGCAACAAAACACCTAATCTGTTTATGTTGGTTCAAAACCACTTTCCCAAAGCAGGGTTCTACACTGTCTCTGCTGTACTTTCGCTGTGAGCCGCCTGCTCCCTGAACGCAGGGACACTATCAAATGCAGGTCCATGCCTTGGAAAAAATATATATATACGAAAGTCAATTAATATATATTAATATATGTATGAAAATAATATATACATGAAAGTCAATTAAATAACCAATGACAAACATTTTAGAGCAAAATTTGTTTCTTGTTTGGAAATGATAACCAAAATGCTTTAAGGACAAAATTTATAGTCTTTGACTTGGCTTTTTTTATAGAATAACCTTCCACCCAAACGTCTAAAGACTGAGTCTGTGTTTCTGTTGAGGATGGATTTTGATGCTAATATGACCATGCCATTGAGATGCTCGTGTCTTTAGCATGGGCCATTATTCATTTGTTCCTGTCCATAATAATAATCAATAATGCTCAATAATCAATAAGACTCATAGCCAGGGGACATATCACATTGTCACATTGCCCCATCAGCTCATCAAAACAGATCTCATTTCTTAATATCTTCATCAACAACTATTGAAGGCTAATTTTCCACATGAGTTTGATAGATTCACTGTGGCCAAATTAACAAATCCAAGCAAGTAAAATAGACAAAAACAAACCTTATTAGGGTGTCACATACATATATACAATTTTAAATATTGAATGAATTATATTATTGAATTTTATTGTCTAACAAAATCATTCCTTGAAGATGAAAAAAAGCATAATTTAGGAAAGATGTTGTGATTGTGAGTATTATTGTCATAAGTTGTGGTTCCCAAAGGCCTTCCTCCTTGTCCTGGCTTCAGTTGCTATCACCATATTTAATATGATTCTGCCTGACTCTCTATGGCCACATTATAGAGTATAAATAGTTTCTCGTGAATTGAAAAATGTAACAGCTATACATTAAGCAGTTATGTTGATTGTGAAGGTCTGAACCACCATAATCTAAAACAACCAAAAATGGGTTAACAAAAACAAAAGGAGATGCCATAAGGCCATGTCACAAAACTAACAGTGTATTTTAATTGAAGGTCTATATTAAGCCTGCCCAGCCCATTCCCTCAAAGGAGTCCATGGCCATAATACACATTTAAGAATCACTCTGAAGGACTGAAGAGATGGCTCAGTGGTTAATAGGACTGTTGTTCTTTCAGAAGACATGGGTTTAGTTCCTAGCAGCCATACATAGACTCACAACGGTCTGTAACTCCAGTTCCAGGGGATATGATGCTCTGTAACACAAAAAATAAGTGACCCAGAGACTGATATTGGGATTCAAGCTTCAAACAGAATATTTGAAAAGCAAAGCAGCTGGTCACTAGCTTCTTATCTCTACCTCAGGCTGAATGGTTTGATCCTGTCTCCATGAGCCTCATATTGTAACCTCTCTTCAGTGTGGCTGGAGAATGAATGTCTCTCTGAGACCTTGCTTCTGGCTTATATACTACCCTAATGTTGGGATTAAAGGTGTGAGCTATAGTGTTCTTTCAGAATGACTCACTTTGTGTAGTCCTGGATGGCCTTGGACCCACAGAGATCTGTCTATCTCTTAATCCTGAGTCCTAGGATTAAAGATGTGTGACACTATGTCCTAGCTTCTGGCTCCTGGGATTAAAGGTGTGTGCTTGGCTTCTAAGGCTTGTGGCTGACTTTGCTTTTCTGAAGCCTCAGTCAAGCTTTAATAAATCATAAATAATACATCACTACAATGCTCTCTATGGAGTCTGTGGGGCCCAGGCATGAACATGGTGCATATACATGCATGCAGACAAAACATTCATATACATAACAGAAACAAGAAAAGGAAGGAAAGAAGGAAGAAAGGAAGGAGAGAGGGAGGGAAGAATGGGGGGGGAGAGGATTGCTGTTAATCTATATCTCCTTTAACTTTTTCAGTGACTATGTCATTATGTAATTATTTTCTTACCATTGGCACTTGGGATTTTCAGATTTAATCATATACTATTTTTTATAATTAACTGTTATGGATCTGCCCATCATCTTCACTAATCAAAAGCAAGAATTATTGATTTTCCTATGGCCTATGGCCTCAGTATCCCTAAAAGTAAACTCAATCATTGGCATCATGTAAACAAAAATCTCAACAATCAAAACACCTGTTTTAGTTGTTTTATTTCTTTAAAAAAATTTTAAACCCAGCAGTGGTGGCACGTGCTTTAATCCCAACACTCAGGGAGGCAGAGGCAGACAGATCTCTGTGAGTTCAAGGCCAGCTTAGCCTACAGAGTTCCAGGATAATCAAAGAAAGCTACACAGAGAAACCCTGTTTCAAAAACCCAAACAAAAATGTTTTTACATATCCATTTAACATTTCATACATTGTTTCCTATTCATTAGTATCATAAAATTTCTTGGCTACATCAAGAAAAATATATAAACAAGTTTAAAGATTTTTCGAAATATAAATTTCATGTCACTGTTTCATAATTCTTAACTTCCTCTGCTCTGAATATGAACCTTATGCAAGTCACATTCACAACCAGTTCTCAAGGAAACATCTTTGCTTGAATGTTAGAGTCTGAGTGTCATCTACTAATAAGATTTGAATCTACATTATCAAATTTTCTACCAGGAGTCTTGCTCACACAGGTTGTTAATAATCTCTTGTCTGCATGACCTCTTTCTCTTAGTAAACCTTGGGTCCTTCAAGGAGAGAATCCATGAGACAGGCATATTAAATGTTAGTTGAAGAATTGCTGTATAGATAAAACCATCCTGGTCTAAAATACTGCACACTGGGATCATGGTATTACATCACCTCAGTAATTACAGTTATACCTTTCATTCCAAATATAACATGGTAATGTATTCCTTTGCTTTCCATGGAATCTGTAGAGAAAGCACAAAAACATGAGGATTAATATTATATAGAATAAATAATATCCATGCACCATTACTAAAGACATCTAGTTATAAAACTAGTAGCAAAAGTGCAAGATATATGGTGATTTTTTCAGAACCACAAACAATGTGTATTACCTACTAAAATATTCACATAAAGAATTCATCCTGAATCAGTATGGTGGTTCCTCAGGAAAATGGGAATCAGCCACCTCAAGACCCAGCAACTCCACTCTAAGGCATATACCCAAAAGATGCACGTTCATACAACAAGGACATCTGTTCAACTATGTTCATAACAACATTATTTGTAATAGCCAGAACCCGGAAGCAACCTAGATGCCCCTCAACATTGTGTACATTTACACAATGGAGTACTACTCAGCAGAAAAAAAAAATGGAATCTTGAAATTCTTAGGCAAATGGATGGCACTAGAAAAAAACATCCTGAGTGAGGTAAGCCAGTGACAAAAAGACAAACATGGTATGTTCTCACTCATCTATGGATATTAGACAGAGCAAAGGATTACCAGCCTACAATCCACACCTCCAAAGAAGCTTGGAAACCAGGAGGACCCTAAGAAAGACATACATGGGCCCCCAGAGAAGGGAAAGGGACAAGATCTCCTGAGCAAATTGGGAGCATGGGGGGAGGGGAGAGGGAATTAGGAGAAAGAGAAGGGGAGAAGAGGAGGGGAGAGGACATGAGGGAGAAGGAAGATTGAGTCAGGGAAAGAATAGAGGAGAGCAAGAAAAGTGATACCATAATAGAGAGAGCTATTATAGGTTTAAAGAGAAATCTGGCACTAGGGAAATGACCAGAGATCTACAAGGATGACCCCAACTAAGATTCTAAGCAATAGTGAAGAGACTATCCTAACTGACTTTCCCCTATAATGAGATTGATGACTACCTTATATGCCATCCTAGAGCCTTCATCCAGTAGCTGATGGAAGCAGAAGCAGACACCCACAGCTAAACACTGAGCCAAATTCCTGGAATCCAGTTGTAGAGAGTGAGGAGTGATGAGCAAAGGGATCAAGACCAGGCTGGGGAAAACCACAGAAAGAGCTGACCTGAATAAGGGGGAGCTCATGGACCCTAGACTGACAGCTCGGAAACTAGCATAGGACAGAATCAGGCCCCCTGAATGTGGGTGTTAGTTTGGAGACCTGGGCAGTCTATGGAGCCTCTGGTAGTGGAACAGTGTATGAATGGACTTTGGAAACCTATTCCACATAGAGGGATACTCTCTCAGCCTAGACACACGGGGGAAGGCCTAGGTCCTGCCCCAAATAATCTGACCGACATTGAAGATTCCCCCATGGAAGGACTCACCCTTTCTATGGAGCAGAAGAGGGACGGGATGGGGGGTCGGTGGGGGACATGGGAGGATGAGAGGGAGAGGAATCTGGGATTGATACACAAAATAAGATTGTTTCTAATTTAAATAAATAAAAAAGAAAGTGTAAAGGAGATAAAAAGAAAGAATTCATCCTAATATAGAGTGCAATGTACTCTTAGGTCAAAGTTTACATGTAGTACAGTTCTTCTGGGCTTAGGGAAAGGAAAATCAACAAAGAACTTAGACCAAAATTCGGGGAAAGAGTCAAAATCTATGTGGTTATTTTTTACAATGGCAGTGGTAAACTAATACAAGACCACTAATCTCTCAAGGGTTTGTTCTCAATAACAACAATGCACTGTGATCGTCAGAACTACAGCACAATTCACACTCAGAAAAGTCAGTGCAGACTGGAAGAGGAAGGGGGAGCTTTAGTGACCTATAATTACTCTGGGACACTCAGCATAATCGGGTCACTTAACAGGAGGTTTTTCTCTAGCTACAGTAATACTCCTACCTAGTTAGTCCTTTCTCCTCTGAGCCCTTTCAGTCACCCTGGTGGCCTGTGTTTATTGGGGTTGATTTTATTCCAAGATATAAAGCATAAAGAAGAATATAGTTTCTGCTTCAAGAATTCCTCCATCTTCAAACAACCTCTATTCCTGGAATATCACTGAACACTATTCTAAACAGGCGTGACCCTTTAATTTTATAAATTCCCATTTCCTATGTCAGCTGTTTACCAAAAATGTAAATGATCTAAGTCAAGGGTTTCTCTTCTGTCACCTACAGCAGTGGAGTTCAATTTTCAGTGGCATTTTCTATAAATGCAAGCTCACTGGTCTAAAAGCCATTTTGTGAAGCCTGGTGGGGTGGGTTATGTCTTTAATCCCAGTACTTGGGATGCAGAAGCAGGCAGATCTCTGAATTTAGGCTATTCTGCTCTACATAGCAAGTTCCAGGGCAGCCTAGGATACCCAGAGAAACCCTGTCTCAAAAAAAAACAATAAAATAAAAATAAAAACATTTCATTAGTTAATTCTTTAACGGAAGCCTGACCTCTAGCTTCAGGCTTCCGTCTCTCCTAAGTGGCTGAGCCAAGTTGAAAAGGGTTAGGCCACACAACTGGCAGTGTGTGCCCTGTGTACCAATGGAAAGTGGGAGGACTTCAAACTAATCAAAGAGATGAAACTGAGCTGTCTGGAGTCTAGGGAATTGGAATAATTGAGCTAAAGCAAGACTTCTCATGAGCCCCAGAAGACAGAGGACCTTGTGACTTCCCTGGGAACCCAAGGTGGGAGGCACAGGGCTGCAACACACATACTCAGTAGAAGGATTGCCAGGTGGTCAGGGCCTAGGCCTTGTGGGGTTTTGTTTTGTTTTGTTTGTTTGTTGTTTTACGGGCAAATCACTTCCTGCTTTAATAATAGAGTGCCATAATAGCAATAAATAGTCCTTGAGACATCGGGGCTCTCATTTGCTTCTGACTTTAGTGTTAGTGAGGAGGCGAGGAAAGATCAAGATCTGTAGAGAGTTGAGTCATTTGTGGGAGCTGGCAGATACTCAGCTGGGAAGGGCCCATCTTCACTGCTAGGGGCAAACTTGAGCAAGGAGACATGGTTGCAACACTGTAGAAACTGAGACAGAAGGCAAAAGGAAAATTGGCTTTCACTAAACTGCAGAGCTTTTTAAAAAAGTTGCTATTATTAGAGAAAGTCTTGGGTGTTAATCTCGGGAAATTTCATGAAGTGACACAATGTTTTGGATCCCTCTTTGATGCTTTTGGCTTTTCTGCTTGGCTGTCTTCTCCAGTCCATCCCAGAGGTCTTCCCAGAAGCATGCTTCCTGGGTCACAGCTTGCTGCTAAGGGCTTCCCCTCATTGGGAGTGGGTCCCATTAAGTCCCAGCTGACTAACAGGTACTCTTGTCAGCAGCTATCCTCTGTTTTTCAGGGGCCTATCCTCCTTGGTGGCTGTGTTCTTCACCATGCTGGGTATGAGTCCTGCTCTAGACCTTGAGAAATGCAATTTAGTAGGTTCCATTAGTAACAAATAGGCTTGTTAAACATCAAGAGTCAATATGGTAAACGCCCCCTTTCTGAAACCCCTTGACTGTGTGAGTGCACCATTAGGGGTCCAACAGAGCATTATTGATGATGGAATTTCTGTCCTGTCCCGCAGTCATTTAGTCCCAAATAAACACACGGAGGCTTATATTAATTATGAACTGTTTGGCTGATGTCTCAGGCTTCATATTGGCTAGCTTTGTCTTAATTACTAACCCATTTCTATTAAACTATCTACTGTCTTGAGACTGTGACTTACCCATAATGCTCTGGCATGTTTCTCCTTCAGTGGCTACATGGCATCTCCCTGGTGGCTCCTCTCTGTGTTCCTCTCCCCAGAATGCTCCTCATCTTGTAGCCCTGCCTATACTTCCTGCCTGGCTACTGGAAATCAGCATTTATTCATCAACCAACAAGAGAAACATATATTCACAGCACATAGAAGTACATCCCCCGTCACATCATACTAAGCGGAAATCAAGTAAGTACTACCAGGTTCTCTCTACTGACTTGCATATGAGCAAAGTGTGGGGAGAAGAGTGAAACTATCATGCCATATGCCACCTCAGTTGGGTTCTGTTGACTTGAATGCCTCCCCCTAGCTTCCATGGTACCAGAAATCACCATGCAAGCTTCCAATGGGGAGAAGCAACCAACAGCCCTACCCAGCTACCATGCCTATGAACCCCAATGACCAACATGGTCTCTGATTTTTTTTCTGTACACCAGGTTCAATTTCAGAAGAACCAACAACCATCTCAAAGACTCATCCTGCTTCTCCACAGCAACATTTTCCTGCTGACAGAGGTGCTCTTCATCTGCCCTTAGAAAGCTGCCTAATAGAATTTCACTGTCATCTACAGACAGCTCTGCCCGGGGTTTATTTTTAGTCTCTTTTGATGCTGTCAGCACGTCTTCATAACAGAACAACCAAATTCATAAAGAGGTGCTATACATTGCTTATTAAGTAACAGTAGTTCTCAAAAAGATGTAAATGTCATCTGCTACTGGGCAGATAAGGCTGATCCCAAGCATCAGTTTATAGAAATTAGAAGATAATTTCTATAATACAAACACCATCATCATCCCTATTGTTATGAACATAGCAACAGCACACGGGGCCTAAGGCGGCCTCTGAAAGCCTCAGAGAAAGGTTCATTAGTAGGACAAGCTGTTTAGGAGATGGTTTGTCCATATGTTTAAGGCAGAATAAACAACAGTTGTCTTTATTGCTATCAACACTGTGGAAGTTATTTTAAAACCACAACCCAGGAAAAAAATAAAACAGGTATGCTGATCATTGTGGCAGTTGTTGGTTTAGATCTGTCCTTTGAGGGTTGCTACTAGCAACAAGAAAATTAAGCTAAAGGAATTTTAATCAAATAAATACGACTTTGTACCTACTGATCATATATCCTGGTGCGTTGTAAAGTGAGTAACAGAAAATACTGATCTGAGTTCTCTGGACAGAAACTTTAAAAATCTTAAAACAGCAGTCGTCCATCATGAGATGTAAATGTTGGAGTCAGGAAGAATATCCGTTGAGTGTGTGAAGCATCTCCTGCCTCTGCAGAACCT